AGAAATGTTGTTTATAAAGTGGCTGGCGTCAATGGGTATGATATCAAAATAGTAGATAAATTAATACGTAGACATAAATTTAAGTCAACACTTCGATATTCTACGACTTTTCAAGCGGATAAAAAGAACTCTAGAAGAATCCCAATCCCGTACAATCCCAAGTATACGAAAGGACTTGATAAGGTTTTCAAAGACTTAGGTTTTGAAAGCGTTTATCAGTCTGGGTCAAAATTAGGGAATTTATTAGGCAATCCGAAAGATAAAGTGGACACACTTGAAAAGTCGGGAATATACGAAATAAGTTGTAATGATTGTGATAAAACATATATAGGCCAAACCAGGCGACCCATAAAAACAAGGTTCAAAGAACACATTGCCCATTTAAAATATGGCAGGTTAGATAAATCTTGTGTAGCCGAACATATGTTCAATCACAATCATAACACACATATTACTAACCTCAAATTAGTTAAGCAAGTTAATAACATTAGAAAACTAGACGCATATGAAAGCTTAGAGATATTTAAGAATAGTGATAGAGTAATGAATAAGGATAATGGACCTATTCCATATAGCCCTCTATATAGTTTAGTAAATTAAGATTAACATGTGAACTCAACCATGACAAATATTAACTTGACGGTTAGTATTTTTCACAGTTGGGTGAACATATACCTAGTATATAAGCAGCACAGTAGAATAGGATATTTAGTTTTAATCTTCTCCTGAAGATGCTAACATAGTTAGCGAAACACGTGTCGAGGCGTTAAAAAATCGGTTTGGTTAGTGGTAAAACAGTGTAGTATATTATCGTGCCAAAGGTTCCAGTCTTCGATATATCAAGATGGCTTCACGGTCAACGGAACAGAACTTGTATTTCAAGGTCAGTACTAAAATTAGTTTAGTTAGTGCAGATATCTGGTTCTTAAAATCTTGCCGAAAACATTCAGTCTTTCCGAACTTCATGAAAATTACTCTGCCACATTCTTCAAATGTTGCCAAGAAAGTTGAAATTCTTGCAAAACAGAAATGGTTGGATTTAGAAATCAAATATCTCTATGGAAAACGCAGTATGCTTGAACTTGAAGCATACGAAATTTATAAAAAACTAACATATAGACTAAGTAACATTGAGTTTGAACAATGGTGTGAATTCCAGAGAAAAATGTTCGCCGTAATTGAAGTCAAATATATTCAGAAATTTTCCTCTCTGAACAAAAAACTGAAGAAACTTGGAATAAATAAATCAAAACCAATATATGAGGAGCCCATCACCATTGTTGAAAACCATTCCTCTCAATCCTTTAGTAATGAAGAACTCAACCTTCTGAATAAAGGCCTAAATTTTGTCCCTTCTGCTTCAAAGGACAGTCTCGATGAAGTAATAGTGAGTGTTGAATCCGCGATTCAATATCTCCCTAATTCTTCAAAAGGATTTGCCAGAGAAGCGGTTAGGAAACAAATTTCCAAAAATGTAATCAATCATAAACATAACTCCCAACGGAAAACTCAAAATATTATCAAAGGATTGAAAGAAAAAGAATGCTTCTACTTAAAAGCTGATAAAGGTAATAAGGTTGTTATTTTGGATAAACAGGATTATTTTCAAAGGGTTGACAATCTCATTGAAGATGGTCCTTATAGGAAACTAACGAGGAATCCATTACCTAAAATGGTCAGTCAAGTCAAATCAATTTTGAATAAATGCCCAAACCTTATTACTGCACATAATAAATATAAATTACAAATATCTAACCCAAGCGTACCAAGACTATATTGTTTACCAAAAATACACAAACCCGGTAAGAAAATGAGGCCAATTGTATCCGCAATTGGGTCTCCTACTTACAATATTTCAAAGTGGTTGGTCAAAGTTTTCAAAACTTTGAATAATCCTTATAACAATCATTCTGTTTCAAATTCGCTTGAATTTATCGAAAAGGTCAAAGGGTTGAATCTGACCGAAGGTGAAATCCTTATATCATTTGATGTTTCATCACTTTTCCCAAGTGTACCCATACCAACAACTTTGGAATATTTAAAGGAATTACTCGAATATAACAATCTAGATCCAGATAATATTAAAGAATTGGTTGATCTCACTAATCTCTGCATGAGCCAAAATATTTTTCAATATAAACAAGAATTTTTTGAACAACATGAAGGTACAGCTATGGGAAATTGTTTATCGCCTTTCCTGGCTGAACTGTTCATGAATCGATTTGAAGGGAATGCAAAAGAAAAGTTCGAGTATTTCCCTAGGGTTTGGATTAGATATGTCGATGATATTTTTGCTATTTTTGATACAAAAACCACAGATATTGATAACTTTATTTCAAAATTGAATAACTGCTTCCCCTCTATCAAATTCACTTATGAATGCGAAAATCAAGGCAAATTACCTTTCTTAGATGTACTTGTGATCAAAAATAGCGAAAACAACTTAGAATTTGATGTCTTTAGAAAAGAAACTAACACATTTAGATACATACCTAATGACTCCAATCACTGTTTTCAGCACAAAATGGCAAGTTTAAATTTTCTAGTACACAGATTGATTTCCTTTCCTCTCAGCAAAGAAAGATTCAATGCTGAAAGAAATGTTGTTTATAAAGTGGCTGGCGTCAATGGGTATGATATCAAAATAGTAGATAAATTAATACGTAGACATAAATTTAAGTCAACACTTCGATATTCTACGACTTTTCAAGCGGATAAAAAGAACTCTAGAAGAATCCCAATCCCGTACAATCCCAAGTATACGAAAGGACTTGATAAGGTTTTCAAAGACTTAGGTTTTGAAAGCGTTTATCAGTCTGGGTCAAAATTAGGGAATTTATTAGGCAATCCGAAAGATAAAGTGGACACACTTGAAAAGTCGGGAATATACGAAATAAGTTGTAATGATTGTGATAAAACATATATAGGCCAAACCAGGCGACCCATAAAAACAAGGTTCAAAGAACACATAGCCCATTTAAAATATGGCAGGTTAGATAAATCTTGTGTAGCCGAACATATGTTCAATCACAATCATAACACACATATTACTAACCTCAAATTAGTTAAGCAAGTTAATAACATTAGAAAACTAGACGCATATGAAAGCTTAGAGATATTTAAGAATAGTGATAGAGTAATGAATAAGGATAATGGACCTATTCCATATAGCCCTCTATATAGTTTAGTAAATTAAGATTAACATGTGAACTCAACCATGACAAATATTAACTTGACGGTTAGTATTTTTCACAGTTGGGTGAACATATACCTAGTATATAAGCAGCACAGTAGAATAGGATATTTAGTTTTAATCTTCTCCTGAAGATGCTAACATAGTTAGCGAAACACGTGTCGAGGCGTTAAAAAATCGGTTTGGTTAGTGGTAAAACAGTGTAGTATATTATCGTGCCAAAGGTTCCAGTCTTCGATATACTTCTATATAATATTATATAAATTGTGTAATGTGATGAATTTACGTTTTGATGTTCGTTTTCTGCCATTTGAAGCATTTGAATGTTTGTTTTCGGAACTGATATTGACTATTAATTCATTCTGACTTCTGTTGAGACCACCAGGTCCTAAATCCTCCTGAATTCAACAGACTTGTTAAATATGCAAGCCGAATACAATTTATTGTGAAATTGATATAAGCATTCTTCCTGATTATTTTTTGATAGAATAGAATAAAAACTTTCATTGGGAACTCGTAAACCGTGAGAGAGACAGGGTCAGTTGAATCATAGCAAAGTTTAGCTTAACAAAATGCCGTTTCGAAACATGGAAAATTTTTAATATCCTCGGAGATATACGAAGAAAACCGAAATTTCCTACAACTTTTTTGTGTATTTTGTTTTCAAGTTACCTGAAGAAATTGATCGAAATGAGTGACAGTTTAACATGGTCACCTTCCATTCTCCCAAGTTGGCGTTTTAGAATTTGAAATTCGACGTTTTGTCTTGCAGAAACCATCATCAACTCATTTTACTTAAAAATACGAACCTGGAGATTTTCAATCATTAAATTTTTTTACACCTTTAGATATCCCAAACGCTTTGAGCTTCCACACATTTTCAATTCCGAATATTTTGTTTACAAAAGTTGACAGTTTCGTTAAATACTGTTTGTAGTTTCGTATTGAATATTGAATGAAAATACAGGAAATGCCGAATTTTGTAGGAGAAAAATTCGAAAATGAAAATATTTGATAGCTCATAGCTTTTCAAATATCCATAGGTGTGATGAAATTTAATGAAAAATTCAGGTCTATGATTGAAAAAATAAGTTGATGATGGTTTCTGGATTACGAAACGTCGAATTTTAAATTTTTCCACTTTCTAGGAAAGAAAAAGTGGCCATCATGATAGAGTGTAATTCTTCACGATTATTCTCTTCAAAAAAATATTTTCCTATATTTCTCCAAAAGTATTCGTAATTTTCTAAATTTCGAAACGGCATTATGTGAGGCATACAATTGCGCAACTTTGCCAGAATTTAACCGAATCCGTATCTCTTATGAACTAATAGATCCCAATGATGAAGCTCGAATTCCAGTTACCCTGTACATACATCTGAACCAATCAAAGTATCATAGAGGGAATAATCTACTAAAACATTATTGTCGCTAGAATACTTATTTGAGGTCAGTGTTTTCATCCTCATGATAATTATATGAGAAAATGATCTATCGAATACCATACACATAAGTGCTCGACAAATTACAAAATTATCCTACAGATCTTGTCTCAAACTTATTGCCATTGGTCTTTAGGCTCTGGTGTCTGTTAACTGGCAACAAGTTTTCGAAGATCTGTCGAATTATTTTCAATTGATCCTCACTATCTTGTAATATTACTACCAAAAATATCGCGAAGTTACTGAGCATAAAGCTCTTGTCATAGTTAGAATTGGTATTAATTATTTTTGAATAACAATATGCCATATGGATACATATCCTATGCATTAATGATCAAATTATTTCAGTTTACTTCAAATGTTACCTGACTCAAACTGGCTGTATTATCCTTATAGTTTCTTGTCACCGTGACTACAGGTAATCTGTCTTTTGTGATCCATGATGCAGCAATCTCATTGACTGTTATCGGTTGGGGTAGTTTTTCGTCAAATCTTGCTTGTTCTGTCAAACTCATCCAAATATCGTCCCCGAAGAAGGTTTTGAATTGCCTGTATTGATGACATATTTCTATAAAATTTATTACTTTTTTCTACAAGTGTGCTCTATACCCGCACGCAATTTGGTTTGGGAAGTGTCGTTTTCCCGCGTAGTACGGTAAAAGTTTTCTCACACTAGTGCGGGCAATTTTTTCTCACACTAGTGCGGGAAAAACATTTATATGATATTCCTGCAAAATATGAGCGGTAGGTGACACAATATGATAACTGCAGGTTTTTTTGTTGCAGTATTTAGTAAGTTTGTACGACATCATACATCGAATTGCACTATTTATTGTGAAAATAAAGAAATATTGAAAAATAATAATTGATTGTTATATAAATTCCCCTATATATAGCCTTCAATTGATCTCATGTGGGAAACAATTGTTGTCATGTCAATCAAAACACAAATTGGTTAGTGTAATTCTCAGAGTGACAGACAGCGTTACTGTCATTTCGATTCAGTGGGATTGCGATGAAAAACTTCCATCTACAGATGAGAATTATTATGATTTGTCGACATACTCCTATCAGGTCATTATAGTTTAAGTTATACAGTCTGTCCAAGATAAGGTTGCACAGCATGGGGATCTCGGAAACGGTAGGAGATACGAAGTCGGTTAAATGGGGAAAAAGTTGCGCATTCGGAGGCTCATACCAACAGCCTTCGAAAATTTTCAAAATTGTTTTAAGTTTTCCAGTTATATCGAAAAAAGTGAAATTTTGGAATATCTATTTTTTTTTTCTCCGTTATAATAAGAGATACAGAGAAACTGAAAATACTTTTTCTTAGCAACTGTTGATGACGTTTAACGTGGTAATACCGATTTCTCTATGCGACGTTTCGTATTCGTAGAACCATCACCAACTTTTGTTTGTCAAATACGGTCCTGATAATTCTTTCACAGATTCTGAAAGTTTTTTTTTTTATTATGAATTCAACCATGTATTGAACAAGCTGGTTTGAATGTGTTTCGACCTATTTTTAGCAATCATCAATGTTTTTTTCGAAATTCCAAAGGAAAAATCCCATCAGTTTCACTTATTTCTGATTATTCAGTATCAAACATTGATGGACTAGTTATTCAATACTGAAAAGTGAAAAAAAAATCCACTAAATTATTCAATGCAGCGCTTCGAATTGTTTATGAATTGTATTCATATTTTAATCCGAAGGAGCTTGTCATAATTGAATTTTTCCTATAAGTCTATCAATCGGAACTAGTTGATGAGGTATTAGTTTGTTGGCTAATTTTCCTTCAAAATAAGTGGAACTGATGGCATTTTTCCTTTGGAATTTCGAATAAAACATTGATGATGGCTAAAAATAGTTCGAAACACATTCAAACCACCTTGTATAATACATGGTTGAATTCAAAATAAAAAAACCTTTCAGAATCTGTGAAAAAATTATCAGGACCGTATTTAAAAAACAAAAGTTGATGATGGTTCCACGAATACGAAACATAAAATAATCGGTATCACCACGTTAAACGTAATCAAAAGTTGCTATAAAAAAGTATTTTCAGTTTTTCTGTATCTCTAATAATAACGGAGAAAAAAAATAAAATAAAAATTTCAAAAATTCACTTTTTTCGATATCACTCAAAAACTAAAAATGATTTTCAAAATTTTCGAAGGCTCTTGATATGAGCCTCCGAATGCGCAACTTTTTCCCCATTTAACCAACTTCGTATCTCCTACCATTTCCGAGATCCCCATGCTGTGCAACCTCATCATGGACAGACTGTATTATAGGTAGATGAAAATTGTGTACATCATGAAGAATGACTGAAAGAATAACTGGACTTCGGGTTACTGATGATAATTTTGATATCCGAAATGAGTTTATTCGACTGTAGTCGAATGATTTTTTTGGAAGTTCAAAGCTCATGAAGATCAGAGTTTATACAAGTTTACTTCTTCTATACATTTCAATTTTCATTTCAATACTGAACATATAGGTAAGTTATATTTTTATATCATGATACATCATGTTATTTCATCCGATTTGAGGAATAATGTCAATTCTCAATTTCAGAGGATTTTCATTTTTTATGCTCTCCTTCTGGATATTCAATGTTCGACGTGGCAAAACTAGCCAGGAAAGTAGTTGTTTTCTGTTGAATATTCAGAATGATATCATGTACATATCTTTATATGAAGGAGAATGCAAATTCTCTACTCAAGAAGATTTTATTTTCAAATTCTTATCATGTGTGTTCAATAGATATAATTCAATATTCGTCGTGGCATATAGCCAGGAGAGTAGTTGTTTTCTGTTGAATAGACCAAGGAAGAATTGATATTTTCATCACAGGGAGAATGCGAATTTCTTGAATATATAAATTTTTTTATGTTCATAATTATATCTGGGAATATTCCTTTTCAACACTTTCACTGAATCAAGGGGTTCAAACTTGAACGATGTAAACTTGTTATTTTTATAGACATCAATTGCAGATTCGTGATTAGGTTTTCTCAATTCAGAATTACTTTCTACGTCCTGCATGATGGATGGAAATTTATCATACATCCACAAATATGTCATTATGTTTAACGTCCTGATGTTCCGAAAATTCGAACACCTTGAATTCTTATTTTTTATTTTTGTTTGTGTGGAATGGCTTATTCCATACTCGCAAACCGTAACCCTCTCCTGATGCTTGTTTGGAAAATAGGCGATTTCAAGTCTCGTTGTAGAATATTTTATTCTTCACTACTGGTCAAAAAATAAATTTTCACTCCTTTTATCGAATAAAAACAGTTTATATTATCTGTCTTCTCTGAAATGCACTGGTTCTGATTCTTATGTGGAATGTCACTTCTGAATATATACTTCTTATGCTTCGTGAAATAGTCTCGCTGAATACCACTTTGAAATGAATATCTTCTCATAATAATTTTGTATCCTTTTATTAACACAATTTTGCTGCTATAGGTAACACACTTTTGTGAACAACGAAGCCACAGGATTATCACGAATATCCAGAAGGTATTACTGTTGACACACTGCATCAACCATTGATGAAAGTTACGTTTTTATGTCAAAGGCAATGATATTTGCAATATATGTGCTTGCGATGGAAAAACTAATATATAGACAACGGTACAAAATACTATATATATTCTCGCCTCGCTTCCTTATATTTCCAATTAAATAACACAACTTATAAGAAGGTCTGTAATTACTCCTGCAACTGACTCAAAAGTTTTTTATTTTTGTTCCCAAACTATTATTGATATATCATGTATGCTGCTAGGCAACACTTGAAATGTTCAGGGACGAACCAAAAGGGACTTTTGGGGGGAGGGGGAGACTGTAAGTGAATCTTGCCAACTCATTTTAAAATCTTCCAATTCTCGTTTTGGACAGAAAATTAATAATTCGTAGGACGACGCGGCTGTCTCGTGTTGTCTTTTCGTTTATTCACAATATTTTTTCTCATCAGTAGGATATTTCGAAATTCCGAGTTTGAACTGGGAATGCTGATGGGATGCATGAAATTCCAATTTGTATGAGCTACGAGTCGGGAATTCAGAGTACGCAGTTGGAAATCCTGGGTTTGTACAAAGTATTTTATCTTCGGATTGAAAACCTGTAACTAGGAATGCCATTTTCCGAATTGAAACTCAAAATTGGAATTTGATTTTTCCGACTAAGCTTTAAATAATCTACTCATCAGTCGAAAATTTCGAGTTTACAGTTTTTTTATTCTTGGATGGTGATCCTGTGACCGGCTACATCTCAGCCTCCTGATGGACTTTTTGTGCATTCCAGTATACTTTACAGCACCCATCTCGTAGCTCTCATTCTCTGCACCAGTCTGTACAGGTTCTTCACCGGTTGGCTGTTGTATTCTTCAGGAGTCAGCCTAGGTTGCCCGAATATTTCTTGTATTTGCGGTCCAATGCCTCGCATTCTATAAATGAGTGTTTGGCCGTTTCTGTCCCTTTACCGCCTTGTCTGCAGAGAAGTTCTCCATTGTACAGTCCCATTTCATTCAGGTGTCCTCTCGTTGTGATCAGTGAGAAGTTTCGTTATTGTTCTCACTCATCTCGAGTACTTCTTTAGATATATTTTCTGACGGTTCTTTGATGTATGCTTTCCCGTGGTGCATGTGAGGGGTTCAGTCCATCGCTCCTTATGTTTTCGCTTGATCCAGTTCCGTATATGTAGCCTCGGGTAGCTGTTTTTGTAACCCCGGGTACGGGTTCTGGGTCAATATATGGAGTTGATGAGCCGGTTCTTGACAGTTCATCAGATTTTCTGTTCCCTCCCAGATAGCACACATTCGCCTAAGGTCATCCTCAATGTGTCGCCAAACGCCTGGAGAGGACGTTCTATTTTCTACAACCTAAGAACATCATCAGGCGTAAATTTAGCGCTGTAATTGTCCTAAATGAGTTCTTTCAGTGACAGCCTGAGGATGTAAAGAATTTCGTGCCTACGGACGTCTTCAGATGACATTCCATGAAATAACGTGTCACCGAAGACAAAAGGAAGAAAAAGAAGAACTAGAATTGAGGTTATGTCTCATGATAGTCATGATTTGTTCAAGATACATCATAATATATTAATGATTATATCGAAATTATTATAGTATTCATTGAATACCTTCATCAAATTTCTTTTTCACATAATGATTGCGAGAAGAACTTATTGCACAGAATTAAAAGATATCAATAACAAAAGGATGATAATCTCTGTTGATGACATTTCTCTCAGGTAGCAAGAAACAATGGTGAGTAAATATTACGATGCCACAATATCCTGACAGGGCATTGAGTTCTCCTCTACATTCCCGTACCAGTCCGGATGTCAATTTCCCGTTCGTGAGAGCTTTCAGTGACGCCTGGCTATCGGTGCATATCTTGATCCGTGCATTGCGCACTTCCTCATATTGTTTGTTCTTACACATTGCAAGATTGCGTTCATTTCCGCTTGAAATACGGAAGTGTTTATTTCCAGTGAGAAGCTCATTTGGGAGTTTCTTCCTTCACTGTAAATTCCAACACCAGAGCCATCATTGGTCTTGGACCCGTCTGTGTACCAGATCTTCTCTCCAGGTTTGCCCTTGATGTTGTCATCTGTCCATCTCCTTCGATCTTTCATGATCACCTCGAAGTACATGTTGAAGCTGTATATTGGGGTATTGGTTTTACTTCAAGCATGTTCCCTCCCACTATTTCTTTTATCTTGTTGTGTGCCGATCTATCGCTCGTGTTTTGTAGCCTCAGATGTCCCATTCTAGCCTCTCTCATGATAATTATGTCTAGCCGGGGGAGGTTTAGTAGTGCTTCCATGGCGGCTGTTGGCTGTGCAAGTCTTAGTACCTTGCTCAACTCAGCCGCAGCCATTTTTTGGTTCATCTTTGTCCACCATACTGAAGATGCGTATGTGATCATGGGTTTCACCACAATTTTGTATGTCCAATACATCATTTTGGGGTTTAGCCCCCATGTTTTTCCGTGTGACCGTCTGACAATCATTAGTGTTGCCTCGGCTTTCTCCTTCACTTTCGCCAGTTGTTGGTTTCAGGTAAGTTTCGAGTCTAGAATTACCCTGAGGTATTTAACTTCCCCTGACAACTGGATGTCGGTCCCTTGAAATGTTAGAGGACCTAGTTTCCTTCGTCGGGTGAAAGCTACTATGATTGAAAGCACTTATATTTAGACCCTCTTCATCTATCCACGTGTTGACCAGGTTTAGGACAATTTGCATCCTCTTCCTGACCGTATAGATGAATTTCCCTTGGGTTGTGATGACTATATCGTCTGCATACCCAAGTGATTCATGTCCATTCCTATCTAGTGTGACTAGCAGGTCTTCCACTACCAGGTTCCAGAGCAATGAGTACAATACACCCCCTTGCGGATATTCCCTGGTGACCTTGATCGCCAGAGTTTCCCCCACTAGAGTGGAATAGGTAATTCTCTCTCTTAACATGCAGTCTATCTACCTGCAGCAGGTTTCATCGATGCCTTTCCATCTCGATGCCCTTGAGATTGAGTTTAGAGATGTGTTGTTGAATGCCCCTTCGATATCCAGGAATGCACATAAGGCTTATTGGTCTCAGAGCCTTCGCCCCGTTTGCAGTTGGAAGTTTATATAGTCAAAATTCAATTTTTTTGAAGTTGAAAATTCTCAGTTCGAAGTAGGAAAGCCATGGTTTGAAGTCAGAAAGAACGAATATTCATCATGAAACGTTTTTTTGTGAAATTTTCCCAAATTGAATTTGATCCCCCACCCTCCCGTGGGCCCGTCCCTGGCTGAAATTTAGAGTTTAACTTACTTACAACGATTTACATAACAATTATTTCATCAGATTCAATAGGAAATTTTTCTTGTCGAATCAATAAAACAATGTAATATCATTATCGAATTGTATGATTTTTTTCTTGCTACAAACACATATGTTCAAAATACTCACTCATAGAAACAGGGAGAAAAAACCCTTCAAAATCTAAAGATATGAGCTCACCTATTTTAATTATAGATAAAAACACACAAGACTTCGATCATCAGAACATATTCAGTGAAATCAAAACAGAAAGCTCATTTTGTTACCTTGTGTTGATTCCAATATGAAGTAATTTGGTTACCTGTCTGACATGAATCTCTGCATTCCATGAATGAAAGTTTTCTCTCCTAGAGTATAATTCAGCATTCTGAAAATCAATTCTGTCTTAGCAGATGTTGAATCTTGCTTAATAGCTGTACTCTTTCCATGAGGATATCTTTTGCTGAACTCATAATATATTGAATATAGCATTGTCATCGGCCAATTGTTGAAGGGCTCTGTTTCATTCATCTGAAAAATATTCGATATTATTCACATCAGTGACGTAAACTACAAAGTTTTTCCACTAATCAAACCGATTTTTATACTCCTCGACAAGTGTTTCGCTAACTATGTTTGCATCTTCAGGAGAAGATTAAAACTGTTTTGATCGTTTCCTGAAGATGCTAATATAGTTAGCGAAACACGTGTCGAGGCATATAGAAAATCGGTTTCGTTAGTGGTAAAACAGAGTGTAGTATATTATCGTGCCAAAGGTTCCAGTCTTTGATATATCAGTGACGTAACAATTAACAGGGAGGGGTAGATGATCTTGGTGTGCAGAGGATCTTGAACCTCAATGGAGTTGTACATATTAGTCGAATTCATGCCTCATATAATAATAATTGTTAGGCCAAATTAAGAAAATAAAGGTCTCATAATCGAATGTTTAGAATTGGTTGGTTCCAAAGATCCGAATTTATTTTCTCTTATACACAGCATATGACGCTGCCATCATCTATCTATAGTCAACATGTAGAAACCCTTACGTCTACACATCACAGAGTGCTACTACAAGTAGAACACTCTGCTGACAGATGGCACTCAGTGGCGTAGCTAGGTAACCAAGGGCCCTGGGGCAGATTAAAAAATGGGGCCCACTGCTATGTAAACTGATTAGGTTTCATCAAATGAAAATATGAGATATACAAAAACTTTGAAAATGCTAAGCTACTTATGCTCCTTTTTGTGCACTGCAGGGCAGGTAATAAAAATATTAAACAGTAACAACATAAATTACACTTAATACTTGGTGTACGTTTGGCTAATAATACAACGAAATATTCAAAGGTTTATTATATAAAGGTCGGGCCTACCAACTGACTAAATAACAATTATATTTTTTTCCTAGATTTAGTTTTCGCAAAACTATCAATGACTTCGTTCAAATCCAGGCTTGAGGCGGTGTTGTTTTCAATTGCTATTAGCGATAAATGTCGGAGTCGGGTTTGGCCAATATTATTTCTCAAATAATTTTTTATTATTTTTAATTTGCTGAATAACCTTTCAGCTGCTGCAGAAGTGACAGGAATTGTAAAGAATAATAGCATTGCTGTAAATACTTCCGTTAGGTCGCATTCTAGCACTCCATATTTGCTCATTATTTCCTCACATAATTGGAGAACAGTCCATGATTGTGTTAGTTGAGGTAAAACTAGGTAGTAAATATTAATAAATTGAAGTGAAAAACTAGGGCCTATTATTTCTGAATATTTTCTTTGGAATTCGTCACACTTTTGTAATAAAGTTCCTTCATCAACATGTAATAAAAATGTTGGTGTTAGAAAATCGAATATATGACAGACTGCACTCATACCAATGAAACGTGTATCTAATTGAGATATCACTCTGTGTCTAGTACATTATTGAAAATCTCAATTTTAAATATTGTTTCTCGGTTTGGAAATCGGTGATCAGCAGCTAATTCATCAAAATGTTTTTTAACTTTTCTTTGCCTTTTTTCTTGAAAATGGGTTTCAATACCATATTTTGATGCAGTTTCACTGGCTTTACACTTGAATAATTCGAAATCATTTCTATAAATTTGCAATTTTGCTTTGGTCTCTGCTAAAACTTTACTCGCCTCGCCCAAATTGATGTCGCATTTTTGTAAAGTTTTGGACTAAAAAACTTGTCAATTTTGGGCAATTTTTGTTTACTTTCTTCTCTTTCTTGGCGTTGTTTTCGTTTAAATGCACCACTGGGTTTCTTCTTTTTATCCATAATTTCAGTTTTCTAATTCATTTAAAATAATACAAAATTAAATTGTGCTCGATTAGGTAGGTATACTCACTGTTCACTGACGACGTTAAAAGTAAAATAAAAGGAAAGAGAAACACAATGATACGCTACAAGTGTCGTTGGGGAATCCCAGGAAAAAATCATCACCGTTAGTGTTGCCACATTTCACATTTATCGGTGGAGACCATGAACGGTTTTCTGCCCGCGAACCTGAATGCAGGTGACTTGTATTTTTTCACGATATTTCGCGTTACACAATGAGCTGTAGCCGAAATCTATACATTTGACACGATTTATTGACTCAACGGACATCAATATGATATGAGTGGCAAAATCAGATAAAATTGAACCACTATATTGCCCGTACAAAAAAGTTTATTGACATTAGCTTATTTACCCCTGATACAGCATTAATTTTTTAACCGTTCTCGAAAAAAATCTTAACTCGAATTCACAATAAAACGCACATTAATGAATAATAAAATGCACATACCACTATCCGTCAAATTGACAATACTGCCAACCTACAGAAATAATTTAAGGGAATTTCCTTAGGCATAACTTTTGGATTTCTCTCATCTGAGTTGTTATGATTGAAGTGGGGTCGAGATCGAGATTTCTGGTAGGGATTGGAGGGCCCCCTGAGCTTGAGGGCCCCGGGGCACTGCCCCGCCTAGCCCATGGGTAGCTACGCCACTGATGGCACTACCTGATTACTTGAGTGGAAGATCCATCAATCCTATTCATTGAAGTAGATCTCATTAGGACTGCCCCACCAGCGACTGGTAAGTGGTAGGCCGAAACAGTACTGTCTCGCTCCTGCTGACAAGTGGGGCAACTCTGTTCATCATCCTTGATTTTTTGGTTAGAGATCTAGTTCAATAAATATGATTGTGTGCAGAGTGTTCTACTTGTAGTAGCACCATGTAATGTGTAGACGTAAGGGTGCCTACATGTTTACTAAAGATGGCAGCGTCATGCTGTGTATGACATGATCGGAAGGTCCTACCATAGAACTAACGCCACTAGATGACGATAACATGACTACATCATCATATAATACCCTGCGTATCAAATTCTTAGTCATGGAAAGAAGGAGAGGAAATCCCAAAGATTCAGTGAAATGAAGGAATATTGATGGTTGACAAACTACTTACTTCTTTGAGCTTCATTGTAGTGTATGCAGTGACGTATCTGACTAAAGCATGGTTAATGTGGGCATCACTCCACCAGAATGGACTAGCTAGCGCTCCCAACCATTGATACACCAACTCATGGGTCAAGTGCCATGATCCTCGTGCACTCAGTTCGCTTTCTCTAGAAGGAATTATCAACAATTACTTTTATCCACAATAATTTATAGTAAATGTATCATGACATGACATGACAATAATTTATAGTAAATTTATAGTAAATGTATCATGAATCATGCCACAATAGACCCATCTGGGGTCGCAGTGGAGGGGAGGTGTTCGCCCCACTCACATGGAACCTAACCTATCATGAATCATGATTCAAATGACATGACAATAAACTAGGTGATCCAAAATTCAGTATCAATATTTCGAAGGATTATTTTTCAGATCAAAAGCTTATTATATTATTTTATTATTAAAGCAGATTATAGCTTTTTCAGTTTTCGAGATATGCAGATCAAATTTGAAACAAAGCTTATGTTATAGGGTGGACATCATACTGTTTATCGAATGATTGTTAGAAAATAATGGGTCAAGCCTTTTCTCGCTCCATGAACCTTTTAGTGTTGCGTCAGTGGTAGATTTTTATGAACTCTTTTGTCTCATCTGCGGACGTTACGGAGTTAAAAAATCATTTTTTGTAATTCGATAGATTTAATTAATATTTCTTTCGTAATCTCATATTGATATTCAATTTGACGGTATTCAGATGACAATTGAAAAGTTAATGTTAACAGCATCTGTCCATTAAGATTGTTTAACGGCTGGTGATATTGTTAAGCTGTTCCATGACAACACGATGTTGGGATTTGTAGGAAATATGAAAATATCATCACTTTCACTCAAAAATGATACTTATGTTTAGTTTGGATAGCACTCAGCATTTTCAAGATAAAATGATTTCGAAAGTCTGCTGCGTAACAAAAATGCAATTTTAATCAACACACAAATGAATAAGAAAAATTATTGATGCAATCGATTAACTGTCAAACACATAAATCATTTTGTGTAGGTACACCGCCTACTAAGTGAAATAACCATGAAAAAATAGACTGATAGCCCTGTGGATCATCGTATAAGGGGAACAATTTTAGTTTTATTAATCCAAATGGGAAGATCATGTGATAGGTACATGGCAAAAATAAAAGACAGATAGTTTCTGTACCAGTAGCTGAATTCGAAAAAATATGTTCCTATCTCAGATTCCTCTATATCATGAGTTATTTTCGAAGGTTTTCATCTTGACTCAAACAAGCTATTGACAACCTGCAGACATTGATAGAATATCAAAACATTCTGAATAATATCAGTTTACTAATGATCTTTAAATTTCAAAGCCTACCAAGTGTCGATATATCATCGAATTTATGTCACAGCCAACTTCTTTTTGAATAAAAAGCAATTCAACAGCGAATTAAGAAATAAATGTCACTTTGTGATACATGGTCGGATAGAGAATTCCAATGCAAAAAAGATAGACTGAAGAAATGTACAGGGTGACATTAAAAAAAAAAAGTTGGGGTCACTTCCGGTCAAACAGGTGGCTGAAAAAAATTGTCGTTAAGTTCGTGAAGTGCGCTACCATTTATAATATACCCCCTGTGAATTTCGAGATTTTATCTCTTCAAATAGAAAAACTACAGGCTGCTACATGTCTCCTGTGTCACCCGGTATAGAACATTTATCTCAAATATCAAAATCAAGGTTTGAAGTCTAACGTTACACGTTAAGTTCGACTTCAAGTTCTATAGGATGTGTGCCTATAGGAGCTTCGAGGGAATAGCAGTATAATTCAGTGAACGTTTTCTAGAAGTCGTATCAAACTGTGCACTACATAATATGTTTTTCTCTTTTGTCTTTAATTTTTGTTATGAGATTGATTGAAAGAAAGCACTCGTCTCTTCCTTTAAGGATCAGACTAATCAGAGAATCAGACAAAAGCTAACTTCTGCCCTTTGGTGTGATATTGAAAACTATATCGATATATCGATTTTTTTTCATGATATCGATATATATCAATATATATCGATATATCGATATTTTTGCCCAGCCCTAGACCAAACTGAGGCTTTTTATTTCCGAAAATTTGACGCGGCGTTTCAACTTGAAGCAGTTCATGCCTCAAACCCCTCATTTTGCAAAGTGTGATATTTTCATGAACGGATTTTATCATGCATCTATTGCTTACTTGAATATGATTACACCCCAGCTATCGGCAGGTCTTGTTGATTGGTAATTCGGCAAAGCCAAAATGTCTAATTTCGGTAGTGGAAACGGACACCCCCAGAATTCTTCCAACACTCCCAAAGACTTTTCCACCTTTTCGGGAACATTTTCTACTGCAGTTATGAAATCTGGCCGTGCCCAGACTCTCAGATGAACGTCTGAAATTAGAACCTGATTACTGTGGCAATGAAGTATGCAATATATATTTTTGTCAGGTTTCCACTTTTATGTTTCGGTAGAGATTTCAGTAGCACCTCAGTGTGGAAAAAAAAACAGCTGTACTTATACACTTTTTTTTTCTTTATTTTTTGCAATTGCATACGAACTCAGCCTTTACGCTCTCGATCACCGAGCCGCCTCGGATCAATTGAAAAAAATTTATATTTCGTGAACCTGAATGAATATATTTTTTATCATTAGACGAAGACGCCGCAAGGTCCTACTTTAGAACTAACGCCAATAGATGGCGATAGCATGACTTGATCATCATGCAGTATCCGGTGACTTCGAAATTGGTGATATACCCGAAGCGTTGATCTCTTAGTTATGAGAACTAGTTCAATGAATAGGATTGATGGATCTTCCACTTGAGTAGTCAGGTAGTGGTTTGCTTGTAGTACTACTTTGCAACGTTGTAGACGTAGGGGCTGCACGGGTCGACTAGAGATGGCAGCGTCCTACACTGTATGACGTGGTCGCAAGGTCTTTCCTTAGAACTAACTCCACTAGATGGCAATAGCATGACTTGTTCATCATGCAGAATCCGGCGCAAAATGATGAGTATAGTTAGTCATAATCAATGTGATACAATGCAATATTATTTCGATTATGACGTTTTTTATTTCTGTTATTGTCACTCTTTGTAACCGTTTGTCATAATTAAATCTGATAGTGGCAATAAAGATCGTGATTGATAAATTGTAAAAAATTATAGGAACATAATCGATTTTTTTCTCCTGGAAAAAATACTATGATCACGAAGTTTTTTTGTCACTTCGTTTCGTTAAGGTACCTACTACTCAAATCTCCTCTCAAACATGAAAGTTCCAGTTTGGAAGGAAATATTGCTGAACTCCATTGTCAAAAAAGTAACTATATAGTGTTGAAATTAATAGTTCCTGTTCGAGCATTAAGAAAACCTCCCAAGGCAATTTGCGTAGGTATGAGCGAGAGAATGAGTTCCATACACAATATACCATTCTCTATATTTCTTGTATTTTCTTCCGAATATGGAATTTTTTCACATTTTGAATATTGGAATATATGTGATATTGCGGGCACTAGTGTAATATTTCAGAAAGTATTTATCTATTCGAAAAAATCACACAAGAATTTTGAGAAATTAGTTTTCATTTCTTACGACGTGTTAGAACACACTCGCTACGTTCTTGATTCAATTTACCCGAATATTCCACCCGTTGAGAGTCGAATGCCTGAAATCGTCTAGCGTCAACGCACTATCAGACGAATTTTGCTTGGTCTCAAAACGAATAAGGCTAATGATCCTGATGGAATTCCACCCATTATCCTCAGAAAATGTGCACCAGAATTAACACCGATTCTCTGCAAGTTGTTTACCGTCTCGTACAGGTCGGGTATTTTTCCATCATGCTGGAAGACAGCTAGAGTCCAACCAATCCCCAAAAAAGGGAACAAGAACCTGCCCAACAACTGCAGGCCCATTGCCCTGTTATCAGTAATCTCCAAAGTGATGAAGATATCTGATATCCTCCTTATAGGAATCACCGAAGATCTACTGGATATCTACTTGCCTACGTCACCCATTTATGGCAAGCTTCATTAGAAAAACACGGGGAATCTCTAGCTGTCGCGTTGGACATATCGAAAGCATTCGACCGTGTTTAGCACGAAGGACTCCTCCACAAACTACCATCATACGGCTTACCACCTCAGCTATGCCATCTCTCATCGAGTTTTCTTTCAGGCAGATCGCTTCACGTGGTGGTGGACGGTGTATCGTCTGATACCATCGGCATCAATTCCGGCGTTCCACAAGGATCAATTTTGGCACCAACATTATTCCTTCTTCATATCAATGATCTGTTAGGAGTAACAACTTGCCCCATCCACAGCTTTGCAGATGATAGAGTACCCACCATACTGCGTTCTCTTCCAGAATTCCCATTTCTTCCCAGGAAACTAAGAACTCACGGCGCAGGCAGGTCAATGCTGTCAATGAAGACCTTGCTGAAATCACAGCCTGGGGAACCAACAACCTAGTTGAATTCAACGACACCAAAACTCAAGCCTGTATTTTCTCTAGAAAGGCGGAACTCAGTATGCCCGATATTGTAATGTCTGGCACCACCATCCCCACCAAGCCCACCATATCTATGCTCGGTATTTCCATCAGCAACACTCTTTCATGGGATAATCATGTCAGATCCATCGCAAAAGCTGCTTCACAGAAACTCGGATTCTTGTTCCGCGCGAAAAGCTACTTCACACCTCAACAGCTTCTCATGCTCTACAAAGCGCAGATACGGCCTGTTCTAGAATACTGTTTCCGTATATGGGGTTCAGCACCAAAACATACGCTGCTGCTCTCAGATTCCATCCAGAAAAGAATCATTCGCCTGGTGGGTAACGCCACACTCACTCACTCTTTGACATCATTGGAACACCGTAGAAAGGTCGGCGACCTTTCACTTTTCTATCGATACTTCCACGGGAAATGTTCTTCGGAAATCTCTGCTATCATCCCTTCACTAGCAATACCAGTCAGACGAACTAGACAATCCCAGTCAGCACATCATTTCGTTGTCAACCTCGAAAGATAGATAGAACGGCTAGGCTCTGGAACTCATTGCCTGAGGAAGTATCCCCAACAACATATATTCTCCAGAAGTTCAAAAAAAAATCCAATACCTACCTCCTGTCCCTATCCTCCCTAGGAACGCACGATGTTCTTTGAACATTATAGGGATTTCCTTTCGTGCGCTCCAAGTGAAATAAAAAATATACATAGTGCCACGTTTATTCTTCAACTTGTTGAATAAACAGCCATTTCAAGTAGACGAATCTACAGTAATTGTGATATAACATCTATTGTGTTGTTGCAGTACATGAACCTTCTAGGTGCGAATATAGGGAATATATAGTTTCTAATTTTTATCTTATTTACTTTGTAGTCAAACTATTTTTCATGGACTCAGTTTTGCAATGGCAGACTTGCTTGAAACAAAAATATATTGGAAAAAGTCGCTGAAACTGATTCAATTGAAAGGTATGTACACGTTCCTGTGAATCAGTGTCGGAATGTATTTGCTGGAACTTTTTTCAATTCTCAGATAGACGGCAAACCTATCTCGAATCGAACTCTGATGTGGAATTCTTTGTTTGATACATGATATATTTTCTGAAATTAGGGATAATCATATAGTTCATTAGATACATTAGCTTCCAGATGTCCCACCTCACCTGAAGAATCTACGCACTGAATCAGCGAAACATGCCGAGTTTGAAGACTCTATGTGAATTCAATAGTTTGTGAATTCAATGGGGAAGTTTTCTATATTGAGGTTTTCATCTCACTGTGAAATTTGTAGAAAAACAATATATACGTTTTTTTTTTCGGAAGATGAAATTTCACTTCAGAAAAAGGAACTTGGCTCCTCCACCATTCTTATGACTTACTTCCTGAAAATCCGCATCCACACAGAGTTAAAATACGATTTCCTGTGCCAGTACGACGTTGCTGGCATCATCAGTATGTCTAGATTTCCGAAAATTGTTGATAACTACATCATAACAGCAATGGGATATAATAGGTTCTTCAATCCTACTTTGTCAAGTATTATGATAAATTCACATAAATCTCTCACTGGCTGAATGAAATTGGAATTTGATTACTAAGGAAGATAGATTTTGATATTTTGCGAAAGTATCTATAATTTTTCACTATCGTTATATTACAATATGTTATTCATAACTTTTCATTTTTTTTGTCAATGAATTCGTTCCTTAATAAAACGGATCTATTTTATAGGGAAAGTTGCAGATTATATCTTGCAACAGCGCATGATACTTCGAGTCCGTCCACACCACTCAAAATACTGACAGGCACAACAAGAGGAAGGAGCCATGGGTGTCGGCTTCATTCTGTTCTGACCGATGGCAGTAAATCAGGAAAGATAGTATCATTGAATGTAGCCGATAGTGAGTCATTGATTCAATGATATTTTTGTTTAGGATCGAGCTGTATTCGAGATATTCCAATGCAAAAATAACAAAACCATAACCTTTCAGAATGAAGCCAACTACCTTCTGCATTCCTGCTCCGAGTGCATTTGTGGTTATGTATGTTTTTGTTCACCAGTTCTATCTTTCTTCTATTCTTTCCATTCGTTTTTCATTCGTTAGCTATTCGTTAGCTATTCGCTAGCTATATTCTTCACCATCAGTTATTTTCAGACTAGATTCAGAATTTACGTCACAGTTTGCCGCCCCGAAAATTAGAAATTGCTTTAATTAGAAAATGAAAACGACTTGGACTTTATCGGTTGCCATTCTGTACAGCGTGGACATAAAAGTGGAGAGTTTCGAACTTATTTTATGAAAATCCATCTGAAGGAAACTTCCTGATTAGCAAACACGTTACCTATGATTAATTTTCACAAAAATATAGCCTATCATTTGGAAAATTGATTATGTTTTCTTACCATCATCATCAGATATGTTGAAGGTCATGTAACTGAATTCGGAGACAATAATCCCCAGTGCGAATGTTGGCATCGGAGGAGTTCTTTGGAATGTGTCCCAAACCCACTCTTCCCTCAATTCACTGAAATATTGGAAAGCCTTTGATGAAATTATCATAGCTTGATTATTCATATTTGATCGAAGATTTTTCAAACGATGAGTTAGTTATACAGGGTGTTTTCGCATTCGTGAGAAATTCTGAGATAATTTCATGAATAAACGATCCCATAAATATTTGTCGAAAAATGCTTCTGAGGAAGACAGTTTTTCCTCAATATTTCCGCAATCATCCATTCGAAAATCATGTTATTTGGTAGATCGTATACACTTTTGATAATTTATGAAAAATCGAGCTCAGAATTTCGAAATCGCAATCATCATTGCCATACTGGAAGGGTAAGGGTAAAATTGATTCCTTTTTGTAGGGTATCCTTTTTTTACATATAGATTCCAGAATATGAAACAAGGAGGTTTTTACGTTAAGAAGTACTCGTAGGTCATATCGATAGGGCGAATAATTTCGGAGAAAATCGTAATTTTCTACTTTCATGCATTGGCACTCTACAGACTGGTCCTCAATATTTTTGATACCACATGAACTCATGACCAAATTAGATTCTGAGCACAAATTCTCAAAAAGTTCATCGGTGGCTTATGTGTAAAAACAACACCATTCTTTAATGGTGATTAATTATGGACATTTTGTTTTTAGAATTAATGAATTCTCGTGAGAATGATTATCTTGTTTAAAATAGGCGGGCTAATTGTTCCCAAGAAAATTGTAAAACTACGGGATGTTTTCGGAAACTCACTCCTCACTCTGGGTTGTTAACTCGATCCAGAGAGGTCACGCGACAAAAAAATTCGGATCACCTACACGCGTTCCAAGTTTACGAACGAGTCAGGTTAGGAACGCAGAATAAAACCTGTGCACAAATATTCATATTTACCTGGGGATTGGTGAACTTGTCTCATGCGTTGTGGCGCATTACTTTCTTGGCTCATAAAACCAAAACTTATTCGAACTCCGCTTCGCGTCGATCGCCTAACTGTATTTGCGTGCGGAAAAGTAACACTTTGCGCACTTGTTAGGAAAATAACTATTTCGGGCAATTAATTGTCTGTCACAGCCCGAGCTGCTTGAACAATCTCCGCGGGTGGTCCCATTTCGCACATATTTGAGAACTCCCTCTTTGCTGATTTACTTCATACAATGGGCTTATATCACAAAAAAAAATTATTTCATAATTCGATAGAACTCACCCAAACTAGCTCACCACCGCAAACCGTTTCTTGCTGTGAGCTCCCTACGTTTTATAAAAAATTATTGAAATCCCCGATTTTTCGGACCTCTGAAAACGAGGCGATGATGTGACGTCAAAACCCTAATACTGAAACAAGACTATTCCAGACAGAGATGAATGATACATGATTTATGACAGAGTGAATTAGCGCCAGATCACAGTTGAAAGAATAAATATACCATTTGCCTCAGTCTCCGTCGGGCGTTTGGTATTTTCTTCTAACTATGACGAGATGAGGTTTCTACGTCATAAGAGGGTCCGTTTTCAAAAGGTAATATTATTTATGTCCAAAAATAAAACATTTCAGTTAATTTTTCGATCGAATTATGTCGTCAATCAGTATTTATGTATAAAAGGATCATTATAAACATGGTTTGAGTTAAAAGTTCTACTAAGGTGTACACGCCCATTCTGAAACAAGTCTGACACCATTCTGTTGTTATTTCATGGTTACAATGAGTAGGGGTTAGGGTTCTGAAATGAGGTTCGGTGGTCCGCTGCTGCGCTTGCCTAATACAAAAAATACTATTCTGTGACTTACTGCTGTGTCGTTGACTCGAGAGGCATGTTCGAGATGGAGGTCATGTTCTTATGTCTGGCAACAGACACAACCATCGGAACCCTGTAGACTGGCTCGTCGTAGCACGGGAAGACGCTTCTGGCCATGTTGGGTCGCATGTGAGTGGCTGCGAACCACTTCGTCTTCTTGGTCAGGGGGTCGACGTAGCTGCTCCTGAACAAACCCTCTGAAGTGTCGTTGAAGAGCCTCCCGGTGAATCGGATGAACACCTCCAGAACGGCACCTGTCTTCACAGGACTCTGGAGAATTATGTTGAAGAGCGGTTTGCTTTTCACTTTCCTTGACGATTCCACGTTCACTGGTGTTGGGCTGTAGTCGGGCTCAGCATCGGAATTGTTCCTATAAGGGTTATTTTATTCACATTATTACCCGTCATGGTTGAAGGAGATAATAACATTCCATTGTGTTCAAGGGTGACGTCATTTCCGTTTGGGTACACCTCCCCTAACTGCTTATTTGTTCACCAAGTCTAACGTTGGTAAAGGTGGTTAATGTTAAACTTGAAGATTTATTTACAGAGTGGAAGATGCAGGATATTATGGAAACACTCGAATTACAAATCAATAGAGTGGATGTTGAAGTACGAGATACACGGGCAAATGCATAAAAGGTTACGAAATGGTAGCGTAGAGATTAGGAAACCAAAGATTTGTATAATTTCATGTTTCCAGATGACAAGCGCCTTGAACAATATGTTTTGGATCCATATATGGCTCCAACCATTGGTATAATACTTTCGCCTGCTAAATACCCAGCAAACATTAATGAGCCATTACTTTCAGAGCGATGTCACCCCAATGAACTATCTCTGGCTTAATATTGGTATTATTCAATGGTGAATAACTGACGTATTTTCAGTGCATTCCCAATGAAAATTGAGTGGTTAATTCTTACACATCGAATTTGGAGGTTATAAAGGGCCAAGACTTCACAAATTCTGTTTCTGTTGATTGATACTGTAATTTCTGGAATATCTGAAAAATGGTCATCTCTTCTCTGGTACCTGGAATTAATTTTTTGTGAATTTCAAGTGAAACCAATAAATCACAACTGCATATTCACCTAGCCTGCTGCAACAATAGTTTGGTGGAAACAAAGACCCAAGTCTGAAGTCTGTGGTAGGAGTATAGATTGCTCTTAGGACTGAAACTTCATTATAGAGGTTGATGTTGTCTAAGAAGAATATCTTTTATACAACTAAATTCGTTACTTCGTCTTGATGGGATTACATAATGATGCACTTCATACAACTTTTTCTCTATTCACTTGTTCACTTCACATCTTATAATAACAAATGACGGTTCATGTGCAGAAGGATAGAAAAAACAAAATGAAAAACCTATGGAAAACACATGAATTGTCCATTGTCGATTGAATAATGTCGATAAAATGCAACTGATAGTCTAATGGTCCAATGTGATTTCATAGATGACTTTATAACCTTGAGGAACCTATATGCTTCATCCACCATTCAACCAGTAATGTTTCAGTCTCTGTAGAATGGATCCTACACATTGATTACCCATTGCCTCAAAAGAGGTGTGATCCTGATTCACATGAATCCATAGGAAATATACTATTGTACCAGCACAATAATAGTCCAACGTATTATATGATTGAAAAAGCGATGAACATGTACTTTTTGATCACCGGAAAATAGTGCCAGCAGTATGCCATCGATTGAATCAATGGTTCATTGATTCGCTAGTCGTGTCATGTTTGCTGGGTAGCTTTTCTATTCAGATCGACAATGCTCCCACTATCTCTCTTCTGCTCATTCTGAACTTGCTCTAGAAATCAGATTCTGAGTAATAATCTCTCGAATATATTTTCTTTCGAATACAAAATGAAAGTCTCAGGCTATAACTGAGTAGGTAAATAAGTGATAAAGAGAAAGAAATAGGAATTCAAAAATTGTTGATGTTGACGGCATTATGACGTAATGTGAATGAAATATCCCTCATGATCGTCGAATCATTAGAGACATAAAATGGGTGTTTTCGTGCCAAAAGTAATAGATTTTAGAAATTTGGTACTGTTGGCAGAATCGTAGACTTGGTAGTCTTGATAGTTATATAATATAGCTGTCGATTTCCGTTAGAACCAGAAAGGCCGCCATTTTGAAAATATTTTCATGGAACATGGATCAGTGATATTTCTAGAACTCTTGATACGTCTTACGTGCGATTCAGACGAAACAACCTGTATATTGGTCGTGAATAAATCTATTTTTCAATATCCGTTCATTTGTTTCATGGTTGTATTTCACGACAGCTCTGAACTGCCATTCTGAGCATTTTTGTATTCACAAATCTTTTTTTATTCTGCAACAGATATAATTCAATGTTCGACGTGGCAAATAGCCAGGAAAATAGTTGTTTCCTATTGATTATTCAGAATGATATTATGTGCAGAAGATGTTCCTTTCAAAATCTTATCGTGTATGTTCCAGAGATGTAATTCAATGTTCGTCGTGCGGCATATAGCCAGAAAAATAGTTGTTTTCTGTTGGAAAAACCGAGAAAGAATTTATATCTTCATCACATAGAGAATGCGGATTATCAAAGTATGTCTTTAAATATGTATCCATCTCTCTATTCTCATAATTATATCTGGGAATATTCCTTTTCAATACGTCCACCCAATCAAGGGGTTCAAACTTGAACGATGGAAACTTGTTGTTTTTAATAATTTTAATTCAGGATGGCAGTTCAGCGTCATCTGAGTCGATTTCAGTATTTTGTTACTACATACGTTCTTTTGATTTCATCATCAGGTGGCATCAGTTGCGTTACATTGCAGTGCAAAATAAGCAGGTCTGGGTGTACATGTAGAACAATCTGGTGGGCTTTATGCTGGACCGTAACATTTATTTTGACCGTCCCCTCGAAATATCCATCAGCAGGAAAGGGATGCAGTGACAGGTGATACGAGCTGGGCATGGTGTCGTATGGTAGTTTTTCTTGGGTTATCAGTCCATGGGCTGCTATGAGGTCTATGCTTCTTTTGAGACGACCGTTCACCTTGCAATTTTGATAGTGATAATAATCATACTTCTATAAGTTTATTCGATTTATTGGACTTACCGATACTAGGACTCCGAATATTAGGACTGCACAGAAACGCCACATCATGGAAATAATGAAGCTAGAAAATTGAGGAATTCATGTTAATAATGTGAGTGGTGCATCTGAAAATGATTTATATCTTTTTGCCAGCAGAAAAAATATTAATTTATGCAGTGTGCCAAAGATGAAGATGAACATCATGGGGATCTTGGTTACAGAGGAGTCCAAATGGGCCTTGTTGCACAGCTAAGGAGTCAATGAACAGACGTTGAGGAATCCCAAAAATGTAACCTACTTCCGGAGATATTCGAAAAAAAAACCGGGATCGACATTTGTTTTTTTTTGAAATTATCAGAAGAATTAAAAAAATTCCAAGGCTCCTTATCATCGCCACTTTTTTACCTTTACAAAATGGCATTCAGAAAACCTCCGTACAACGCTCCGTTTCGAAGAAACCATCATCAACTTTGTTTTCTAATATGGCGAAAACAAAGTACACCCTGAATGACATATAATTTTTTATTGTTATTGCAACGACGTACGGCACAATATGTTTTCTTATGTTTTTATTTAGGAAGAATACTTTGCCATATAAAAAACGAAGTTGATGATGGTTTCTTCGAAACGAACCGTAGTACGGAAACTTTGAGAATGCCATTTTGTTGAGGTGAAAGAGTAGACATGAGAAAGTGTCTTTGATTTTCTGAAAATTCTTCTGATGACTTTAAAAAAAAACAAATCGACAAATTGCGTTTTTTTCGAATTTCTCCTTAAGAAGACAACAGGAATGAATTGCCCACAAATATGTGAGCTTTATTTTCACACATCAGAGTTCTTGGGAATATTGTCACGATATAAGGTTGATTGTTTCCACCAGGTCACGATATAATAGATGGATAGTCTATCCACATCGATTTAAAGGGGTTAGGTTGGCCTAATATTTTGCGAGAGGTAATATTCCTATAGACACTAATAGTTTAGGGGTAACTGAAAGTACGATACTATATTAAAATATTTATTGAAGCATGAAACATTATGGGTAGTGATGAAAAATATGAATAAACAACAATGAATATGGAGACCTTATAACAACTTACATTATAATGACCACTACGACGAGCTCTTGTCAAGTCAAGAGTAGCCCCAGACCAGACTCACTTTGGAACCCTCACATCCAATATTTATAAACAGCATTTCATCAGATTTGCACGTTTCTCATGAGAGTTCCTTGGTCAGTTTTCATAGTTCAATGTCAACGAATGATTTGATTAATTTTATGTTTATAAAACCCCCATGGTACGAAATTCCTAATATACCGTATGTTCTACTCGTGACATGCCAACTATCTCCAAGAGACAGGCCAATACTAGAAGCCAGGATATCTTAAAGCCCAAAGGATTCCTACTTCAGAGTACCAGCCCAGAACGAAAAAAGGCCAATAATCTTTGAAGCCCAAAAATATTCCACCCTTATGCCTAGGACAAGGATACCATTCGAGCCCAAAAAGAATCCCACCAAAATTACCACGACGATTCAAGGATGCCCATCAGTCGTCATTCATACCCCAAGAAGCCAGCAGTTCCCTTAGTTCAGCTGCCAACCACCTCGAATGACAGTCTAGGAAATCTTAAAGCCCAAAAGATTTCATCCCAATACCCAGGACAAGGATTCCTTCGAGCCAAAAAGGATCCTGCCGAACTTCCCATGATGATGGGAAGATGCCATGCCCAGTCGTCATTTTCTACCTCCGAGCTGCCAGAAGTCCCACCAAAATGCTACAATTGAATAGCCAGTGCCGGACTAAGTGAAGGTGTGAGTGTGCATTGTAGACACTAAACTTTTGAGTGTGTGAACTCCATTTCCAAGGTGTATTGTTTCTTGTCAATAAAGTATTTTAGGTATATGTTCTCCTCGATATCTTAAGTTAGGTAGTAATTTCAAAACTGGGGTCCAGATTTCTCGGAGAGAGGGGTCATGTCACGAGTAGAACATACGGTATATTAGTAATTTCGAACCATGAGGGTTTTAGAAACATGAAATTAATCAAATCATCCGTTGACATCGAACTATGAAAACTGACCAAGGAACTCTCATGAGAAACGTGCAAATCTAATAAAATGCTGTATTAAAATATTGGATGTGAGGGTTCCGAAGTGAGTCTGGTCTGGGGATACTCTTGACTTGACAAGAGCTCGTCGTAATGGTTACTATAATGTAAGTTGTTATCAAGTCTTTATATTCATTGTTGTTTATTCATATTTATCATCACTTTGGAGACCTGCAGAACATCTCTTTCCAAAGACTCGTTCATCCAACGAACAGCGAGACTCTGGAACACATTGCCAAGGGAGGTGTTCCCCGAGGCATATAACCTCCAGAAATTTAAGAAGAACACCAATTCTCACCCCTTATTTCCCTTGGTTCTCACAATGTTCTCTGAACATTACAGGATAACCCTTTACGTGGGAACCAAAACATAAAAAAAATGCTATAATAAATATTCTGAATATCACACACACAACCTATTCGTATTATATGTGGATAGAAATACCCTGTAGGCATACTAATTCTGTGCACTTTGTCCCTTAAATGATATTCCATGTTTCATTTCCCGAATATATTATAGAATTAGATAAAAAGATCATTCCAAAGAATCACGACATTGCATTAATGGTATGAATAATGCTTATTTATCTCATAATCAATTGTGCAAATACGAATCTTTATCACAACCATTACAGTCAGCTATACCTGAGGCGAAATCTCCTACCATATACATAATATATGGTATACTTACTCAACGAATTTAGTTTAATATGTACACAGAAAAAATTGTAATTTAGCAGTATAAACAATTGATAGCTAAATGTTATTTACTATTCTATGGCTTTGCAATGAAAATATAAAATAGACTCGCAGAAATGAGGCAGATTTCTTCAGTGAAAGGTGTAGGAGTGTTATTTGTTTTCCAACTGACGAATCTTGTTATTTTAAGCAATGAGGATCATGTCAAGGTAAGCTATTGAGATAATGAATCTTTCTGTTTGATATTTACTCGAAAACACATGATTCACAAACGAAGTTCAAGGTAAAATATAGTTCGGTTCAACGTCATCATTATGGATTAGGTATGCATTGCATCACAGTTTTCTCTTGTAGATATGCCCAGATGAGTTTTCGACATTACCAAATAGCTCTCAGAAAGTGTTATGGCAAGCGGCAGGAACAGATCATGAAATCATTCTATCCGATCCACCATGTACTGATGAACTTGGGAATTTGATGATAAGAGTATGTTCAAATGGAACATGGACACCCAAAAATCGTCCAAGTTGCATAAAGACTGTGGATGCGACCCGAAAATGCCCAGGAAATTTTCAGGAATCTGAAAATAGTTGCATTTTTGTCACAGAGCCCCAACAGTGGAAGGAAAACTGCGAAAGTATAGCGGCTTCGACGCCTTCTAGCATACTAGAGAATGGAACTGTATGGTTGCCTTTCAGAAAATCTTCAAAGTACGGCCCTTTCGAGTCGGTTAAACGTGGTGAAAGTTTTGGCACACCCCTAGACAACAATTTGAAGGTACCCATGAAATACGACACGTTCCAAAAGAACTGTTTAGCCTTCAATACAATGACTGGAGCTATGGAAGTTGAGGATTGCAGCAATCTTCATAATCATGTATGTGAATTTGCTAAAAATGAGATATACAAGTGTCCAAGAGATTGTGTGAACGCTGCTATCAATTCGAATCACTGTTATTGTAAATTGAAAGGGCAGTGCGAACACCTAGCGGAAATTCGAAGCATTTTTGATAAGAATATCTTGTCAGACTTGGCGGGAAACGACTTATGCTCTGTAGGAGGACCCCAACTAATAGATGGATATACACCAGCAATAAGCGAACATACTTGGCTCTACACAAATAAGCCTATCGAGTTTACATTATGTTATTCGGAATTATTGCAAGTGAGAGATGCAGAGAATGTTCATATGCTGCTGAATTTCGACGAGAAGAAGAGAAGATTATTTCTCGTTGTATACAATCCGAACGGTCTTTTCGATGATGCTGATGAGGATTCAATATACTGCTTCACTGATGCCGCTCCATTTGATTTGAGAAAACGCATGTATGTGAAGCAAATAAACGAACAAAATTCTACGAAGAGTTCTTATAAAGTATATGAGGTAGATATGGTTCAGCATATTGGTCAATATTGGTGCCAAGCTTACGGAAAATTCGATGCAGATGAAGTACATTCAAATCAAGTAATAGGATATACCAAGAAACCTGGGAATGAATATGCTTTAAGAATTATAATTGACAGAGTTTGCATGATTTTCAACTGTACTGATGAACCACTCTCCTCCTATCAGAACTCCATCCATGCGAACTTATCAAGTACATTCAATACAGAAGTGAGGTTAATGGAGATATTCACTTTTGATTACCACATTCTCGATGTGTTGATTCATATAAGCACACCTCATAAGAAGCCAGTATATCAAGAATACTATACCCTGAGAAAAAAACTCCAGTCTTCACTGAAAGAGATTGAAATTGTTTATTTCAAGAGCAGCGAATTTTGCCTTCCCGAATTGTCATATTCTGAAACTGGTAGACAAATGTCTTGGCCACTCACGCCAATTGGACAAAATGCAATATCAGAGCCGTTCTGTCTCCAGGATAATGGACTACCCTTATTCAGATTATGCGAAGGGAATTTCATGTTTGGTGCAGATTGGTCAAATATAGTTGGAGACTGTGATGATGGTTTGGAGCTCCCAGAAAGTGTGAAGGATCTTCAGTCAATGACGAATGAGACTATCACCAATTCAACCTTCCACAGGGTTACGAGTATAATTAACCACGAACCAGATTTACCAGTTCTATCGATTTACTATATTGCCAAAATGTTAGAGACAATTTTCCTCAGACATGAAAATGCAACTTCCGGCGGTAGTATCCCAGATGAAGCAGGTGGTACCTTGAACATCACAGATAGTTTGATGAATGTCGATAGAAAATCATTGGCAAAAGCACAAGATTTCTTGAACATAACTGATGGTATTTTGGATTCGATCAATGAAATATTGAGTACTGCCAAAGTCGATCCCAATGTTGTTGTTATCCAAAGAGAAAATGTGGCTCTGCATAGCACCAATCCATTTTTGAGTAATGTCTCTGGGGTTATCGTTTATTCAAATAATGAGAAAGGGATAACTATAAAGAGTTTGCGGAGGAACGAAACTTTTGATGCTGTTGAGTACGACAAGAATTTGTTATTGGCTTATTACGTACCAGAAGAAATCTTGGGACATTTCAAAGATGACAACCTCACCATCATTACAACAGTATTTTTCAACGACCGTTTGTTTGTGAGTAACTACACCAAAAAACCAGCAGGAATAGTATTAAGTATCACCATACCAGGACACGGTATCTACCTTCCCAGTACAATACCAATTCTGTTCAGATCCATTGAAGGAGATGACATTCCCGAATGTGGATTTTGGGACTATGGTAAGAAATTAGCCAGAAAAAAAGGACGTTGGTCAACAATAGGTGGAGACTACATGGGGCATTTCGAAAACAAAAGTTCTTTCCATTTGTGTTCATATTCGCACCTTACTCATTTCGCCCTACTCATTTTGGAATCAGAAAGGGCTATTAAGGAGAATAATGATAATGTTTTGTCGATTATAACATATATTGGCGATTTCTTCTCGGTATGTGGTATATTTGGAATCTTCCTGACAGCCATCGTGTATAAGAAATGGAGACAAAAACCAGGAACGATAATTTTGTTGAATTTATCTGTAGCTCTAGTATTGGAAATTATCCTAATGCAGATAATAGAGATGTCGCCTATAATTGTATCAACAGGTTGTGAAATATTTGGTAAAATCATACATTACGTTGTTGTATCTAAATTCTCTTGGATGTTGATATATTCTTTCTTGCAGTATATGAGATTCGTAAAAGTATTTACCATCCTTCCAGATAATATAGCCTGGCTATCTGTTATTTTCGGATGGGGATTTGGCATCATACCAGTAGTAATCGTTGTTGCAGTTGATCCTTACAGTTATACAATGGAGAAATATAACTTTTGTTATCCAGCTGGATTATCCTTATATTTGGGCTTCTTTATGCCAATTTTCATAATCATATTTATCAATACGTTTGTATTTTTCGCAATTATGAGACAGGTTACCTCCAAGACAGTCGAATCTCATGGCAATAAGGATAATATACACAAACTACAGATACAATTAGCGGCACTATTATTTTTTATTCTAGGAGTACCTTGGCTATTTGTTATATTCAGTAAAGCAATTCCAATCACATGGATACAAACATGTCTTATCTATTTGTTTTGTATCACTACGAATATACAAGGTTTCATCCTATTCATATTTTATGTCGTGTTCAATGGTGAAACGAGAAATTTTTGGCTGAAATATTTCACCAAAAGAGAGATTGTTCATATTTCTGTAAGCACCAAAACTAGTAGCAGATTCTGAAGTATCAGACCGTGATCTGCATTTTGAACGAATGATGACGATAACCCAACACTAACTATGAGGATGAAATTATTTTTTTGTACCGGGTATCTCAAGAACTAATAATTTTGCTAACAAGGTCTGGTTCGAGATAGGGAGGTTTGGGGAATAAAATTAGAAAACCATCCATGTCATTCTGGTTCTTACCGTGTTTTGTGAACTATTAGTTCTTGAGATACAGTACCTTGTCACCCTTATTGAATCTCCTGGTACATACATCATAGGGCTGAATTAGTTGTATTGATGTTTTTAGTTCTCTCATATAAGCTATACATATTCTTTTGATGTGAATAAGTAAATACTTCTTTCCAAATTACAGAAATCATTCAACAACCTTTATTACCTTTGGCTGATACAGGGACAGGACGTCATGAAATTGGAGCTCGTTTTATTGGGATATGACAAAAGGGGTTGAAACAAATCGATATTGAAACAGAAAATAATTTGATTTCTTAATTTTGACATCAGTTCAAATTGCTGACGTTTTCAAATATACAGGGTGTCCCATAATTAGCGTGCAATACTTCACCAGCAGATTTAACGATCAAAAACAAGAAAAATAGTTCCAATGAACATAGGTCGAAGAATGTTTCATAAGCGAGCTACATCCCCCTGAAGGTGGTACCCTGAAGATGGTTTTTATTTTATATCTTCGAAACTGTTGATATAGCAGAATTTTGAAATTCTGCAAGTCAGGCAAACTTTTCATGTCTAATAATATGCGATAATAATAATTTCGAAATTCCATCCAGAAATGGGCCAAACTGTGGGAGTGGGGGGTAAAATCACCCCGACTTTTTTTAGTGCGTTTTTTTGCAACTTCAGCAAGAAATAAAGAAACTTTGAAGCCTTTTGTACCAAGAAGATCCTCTTGTTCAAATTCGATAGGATGCACCGTTCTCTAGTAAAATCGATTTGAAAATGACCTCACATGTCAAAATGAAATTACGAAAATTGTGAGTTCAACAAACAAACAAGCCAATTTGAACAATTACGTAGGTGAAAAAAAATGTCGCTCAGATAGGTAAATAATTTAGTATATTTTCATAAAATAAATGAATTTACAAACCTTCTGTCACTTATTTCATGAATTTCCACCTGTCTTGATTATTTTTGCACGAACCTAGTGGTCGTGTTTCATGGCCTACGCAAAAATGTTCAATTTTTCTAATTGCTCCATGAATTTTATGTTTTTATGACATGTGAAGTGATTTTCAAATAGATATTAATCGAGAACGGTGCTTCCTACCGAAGTTAAACTAGAGAAACTTTTTCATGCAAAAGGCTTCGAAGTTTTTTAATTTCTTGCCAAAATTGCGAAAAACCGCACCCAAAGAAGTTGGGATGATTTAACTCCACCCCCCACAGTTTCACCCACTTCTAGATGACATTTTGAAATAATCATCATCGCATATTATTAGTCATGAAAGAATTGGTCGACTGGTAGAAGAAATATTTTTCCTGCAACTGTCAGAAAAGAGGACAACCTCATTCAACTTATGATGTGAATTATTAAATGATAGGTATTTCGCAATTATTATCAAGTCAATTCATTCATTTCATGTCAGTTTACTAGTAACACCTGGTTTCTGAGGACGCAATAGCCAGAGCCACCTTCGACTGATTCCCGCTCGCTTTCTGCGATGTTGATCAAATTATACATGAGATGCAAGCATATTATCATTTAATACGCGAGGAATCGTGGCACCTTTTTCCCGCCCCTATCTTCATTTCATTGGCATAGGAAATACGAAGTCAGCTGCCTTAATTTGTTCGCTTGCTGCCTTGCTGGATCCCGTAAAGGATACTGCGTTGTTGGTGGGCTGTTTGATGCAAAACCGAAGTGTGTGGTGTGTGCCTAGCAAAACCACCATTTGCAGCTACACATTTCGATTGTGTGTAATTTTTTTCGAACAGACCTGTATCTCGAACTGAACAGCCTACCAACAACTCTGTGTATAGGCCTCGTTTACGAAAAAGTGTAATTTTTACCACTTTTTCGTAAAATAATGAAACAGTAATTTGATATTGAATATTTGTACACTTCAGGCATTCAAAATATATATTTTTTTGACATATGCAGAGTTTTATTGTGTTCGATAAATCATGAAATGTCAAATTTCAAGCATTGACGAGAACATCAGATGGCTACAAGCCAAAGATTTAAAAAAAATCGCTATTATCTGCTGTAGACAAAGTTAATTGAATTACTCGCACTTCATTCTCGTGGAACATGCCAGTCATTCCGTGCTTCGTGCTCGTTAAAAAATATACTTAACATTCAACAAAAAAATACTATTTTGTACAAGAATTTTCTGGAATTGAAATGTTGGTAGACTCATCAAGAGGAAACCCTGTGCGTGGTTTCCTCTTGATGAGTTGTACAGAGGGTTGGTAATCCTTTCGTGTATACTGTTAGGTAGGATGTGAGATGTTTATTTTGTTTTTGAATTATGGTTTGATTTTATCAAATGTTGATGATGAGATACCTCCCCAATATGACATTTTTCGGGAAATGAATTTCATTCACTGGTCATAGCTTATTTTACGAAGGAGCAAACAGCAAACGTTGAAGCAGAATTCAGACTATTTGACCATGCGATAACTCGTGAACCATTAATGTTATCGGAACAAAAATTTTGTAAGAGAGCACGAATAGTAATAGTGTGTCTTTATCATCACGCGACAATACAGTGTGTCCTTGGACTTCCTCTTTTCCTCTCGGGAATGTACAGATTGGGGCAAAATATCACCAGTACTTTATAGAACTTTTTCCTAAAATCCGTCATCACCATGTACCATACCTAAGTACTGTACTGTTTCATTACGACTTTATTTTAGCCATGGTATTATCCCTAACGTTATCATAATCATTTTTGCTGTGAACATTTTTCATTTCAAATAATGGTAGACGATCGGGTTTGATGTCGTCGAACGAAATTGCCTTTTTATCAGAAACCGTTGCTCCGATCAATTTTTCACACGAGTACTTTTATTCGGGAAATTATCCAGGTGACCATGTTTTGTTGAAAAATATTGAAGAATATCTGTCATTCCAAAGTTTTGGGGTGTGGACCATCGGGGGTAGTCCGTTCCTGACTTTGTAGCAGAACAACTCACTCCTGAATATTTATTTTCAAAGGTATGAATGAGAATAGTATATTGTGCAACAAGTGGTAGAAGTAGAAAAGTGTTTTCCCCACATGTTGCACACTATACTTTTTCTACAACTGCACTTATTCAAAGAATCCGAGTAATGTAACTTATTATCATTCATTTTATAATGTGGCACTATGCCACATTGAATATTGGGACCAACGAGTAGACGCCTTTCCTAGTTCCTCAAAGTATTTCAAAAATGTACACTTTCCGAAAATGAATTTATTTCTGTATTTTTTTAGATTCCATAAATTTTTTGTACCAATATGCCAAATGAACAAATCCAACTTTCGCAGCTTTTTCCATAATTATCTCTGTCTCTGGCGGTGTATTCATGAAAATCGTCACATCTCGGTATATACGTCTTATTATTTATCATGAATTGTTGGAACAATATTTGATGGAAAATGCGATTTCTATCGAAAGCACTGATGAGAACTACCCTAGAGAATTCAAAAAACGTCTTTTGACAGTTGTGACAACTATTCAAAGCTGAACAGCACCCAAGTTTTGATAGATTTTTGTGGATTCTCCATGGAAATGACTGTGGTGTTGGCAAAGTGCCGTGAGAAAAAATATTTCTCACAGTATGGGCAATAAATGGTGTCGAAAGTGAGTAAGCTATGAGAAATGCACTACATTTCATAGCAGCAGTAGAAAAATATTTTTTTGTCGACCTCTACAAAAGATCACACTTTCTAATTTTCGAATGAAGAACCGTCTATTTCTGAAGGCAAGTACTTTTAGTCTGCAGACACCAAATTTTCGCTCGCAAACACTTTTCGTCCGCTGCAGCGTTGTCAATTCCACTGAATTTACAGTAGATCTCCTGAATTGTATTCTGATCTACTGATCTTCTGAAACATTTCATAACCTACTGAAAAATATTTTGACACTCATTCATCATTATATTCACCTACTAATACTAATGATATGTATAAATTGAATAAAGGAAAATACTACATCTGATTCAGATCAAATTAAATTTTTTCTATTCGTCCCTGTTATAACAGTTTGTTTGTTACGCTTAATTTTCTAATTTGTTTTGTATTTTTGTTGTTCATTTCTTCCATAAACTCAAATCTTATAAGTATCTATGTAACTGTATTATGTAATATCCGTGAGTATTCTTGAAATAAGAATAAGGAATATGATTATTCTTCATTGGTAACTTTTCTGTTTACTAATAGTATATTATGTAATAAGTGTTATATATAAACGTCCTTTTGGTAACGAGTGTTTAATAAACGAGTGTCTAGAAGAGTTTATAAACGCGTTACATACAATGCTTTTTCACGAACTCCGAAAATCACATTAACATACCTGATATTCCTGCTAACCTTCAAAATAATTCGAAAGAAATGGAAATTGAGAACATAATGATACATGCAACTGCATGCAACCAGCGAGACACGTATAAGTGATATTGGTTGTAGATGTGTCCAGTCTATTATTGCTTACTAACCTTTGTTTCACGTTTATTGTCATGCTTAGCGCAGAATAAATAAATTCTCCTAAATTCTCCTAAATTTCACTCTCGTCTAAATTTCCCATATATTTTTAATGAAGAATTCTGATACAAACGAATATTGTTTGAATAATTCTGATACAGAATTTGAAAATAACAGTTGACAGTTAATACAATTGACAGGCCAGACATGTCTCAAATCACTGAAGCTGTGTTTAATGAACTGTGTTGCCATGGTAATGTGTTTGAGAAATCGTGTTGCCATGGTAACGTGTTTAATATTTTGAATAAATCACGGATCGTCAATCCGTGATTAATCGATCATTTAGCGTAATACATATCCGTACGCTGAATGCCATTTTAGTTATGTGAGTAGAAAAAAGTATATAATGTTTTCACGTCATAGGTTCATCCAATTATCCTTTCTTGAAATTCGTATAGCATGAAATAATGAGCTTTTTGACATGAAAATCATGTTCAAGGCAAAAAATAACGAATGCAACGATATAATGAAACAAAAGCTGTTTTAGTGAAAAAAATTATACATGTCTTGTATCTTCTAAACCGTACTACGGAAAAAAAATAAGTACGTCACTGGGTTCTGTG